ACCCACTGAATGAGAGAAAATATTTGTGAATTATATATGTGATAGGGGATTAATATAAAAACGGCCCCATACAAGTCAGTCACACAGACAATTCCAATTAAAAAATGGGCAGAGGATCGGAATACTTTTTCAAAGATAACATACAGATGGCCAACAATTACATGAAAAGGCACTCATTATCATTAGCCATCAGTGAAATATAATAAAAACTGCAATCAAATATCACCTAAAACTTGTGAGAATGGCTATTATCAAAAAGACAAAGAATAACAAGAATTGGCAATGATGAGCAGGAAAGTGAAGCATTGTGCACTGCTGGTGGGGATGTAAACTGGCTCAGCCACCATACAGGTTCCAGAAAAAATTAAAAATAGAGCTACTGTATGATCCAGCAATTCTCCTTCTGGGTATTTATCTGAAGAAAATGAAAATACTACCATAAAAAGATATATGTGGTCCCATGTTCACTGCAGTCTTAATTATAACATCCAAGATAAGGAAACAACCCAAGTGTCCATTGATGGATACATGGATAATGAAGATGCCACACACACACACACACACACACACACACACACACACACACATACTCTTTGGTCATAAAAATGAATTAAATGACGCCATTTATGAAAACGTAGAGAGACCCTGATGATATTATTCTAAGTAAAATAAATCAGATAGATAGAGACAAATACTATATGATCTCATTTACATTTAGAATCTAAAAATACCAAGTTCAGACCTCCCTGGTGGCGCAGCAGTTTGAGCGCCATGCTGTGAAGCTGTCTGCAGCCTCTGCAGTGCCCATTTGATTCCCGGCCCACCAGGGAGCTACCCACACGGTGCGGCAGACCTCTCCTGTCTCACCCGCTGCTCCCCTCAGCAGTGTATTTCAGTTCGTCTGCCTGTTCTGCTCCCAGCTCTGTCTCTGGTGAATCCTCTCACCCTCCCGTGCATCTGGCCTATAACCCTAGTGCTTGTATAAATAAATAAATCTTTTTTAAAAAATAAAAAAAAACCACCAAGTTCACAGGTATGGAGAAAAGACTGTTGCCAGAAGTGGGAAATGAGGGAGGGTGAGATGGTCGAGGGGCATTGAAGTTACCAACGTTAAGTCATAATATAAAAAAAGTCATGGGGATGTAATGTCCAGCATGGAAGCAAGAGTTAACTGTGTTGTATCACATATTTGAAGTTGCTGAGAGCAAATCTTAAAAGTTCTCATCACAAAAGAAAAATGTAGTATGTGTGGTGATGGATAAGTAAATGTATCAGAATTTTTACTAGATTGATCATGATTATCATTTTGTAATGTATGCAAATATTGGATCAAGTTGCACACCTGGAACTAAGATAATGCTAGATGTCAGTGATACTTCAATGATAGAAGGAATCTAAGAAGTCAGACTGATAGTACCAGAGGTGGGTGCCAGGGCCTGGGAGATGTTGGCCAAAGGATTGTAAACCTTCAGTTATAAGAGGAAACATTTCTGAGAAATCAAATAAACAGCATGGACATCGTAGCTAATAATACTGTATCATGCACTTGGAATTTGCTAAAAGAGTAACAAGTGTCCTTGGCACACACACGTATGTACACACATGTGTACACACACAGACACACATAAAATAACTTAAGGAGATGGGTGTGCCAATTAGCTTGACTGTGGACAGCATTTCACAATGTATATGCATATTAAATCATCACATGTTACAGTTTCAACCTCACATTGTGAAACCTAAATACAATTACTTTTCATTTGTCAATCATACCTCAATAAAGCTAGAAAAACAATTAAAAAAATAATCTATCTTCTACGGGATTCTGGACACCAAAGTGAAACCACAAATGACCTCTCATGAGCAGACACTTCCAGCATCTGACACCATTTGACACTTCCAGCATCTGTTCATTCATCACTCATCCCTTCTTAAAGTTAATGCATAAATATGTGTTCCCCAGACATTTCTAAATAAATATAATGGCATGGGGCCTCCCCGGTGGTGCAGCGGTTGAGCGCTGGGTTGCGAAGATGCCCGCAGCCTCTGCAGTGCCGGTTCGATCCCCGGCTGATCCCCGGCTGCTCCCCAGCCACCCCCCAGCCACTGGAGGAGGGTCCCACATGGCGCGCAGACCTCTCCTGCCGCCCACTGCTCCCCTCAGCAGTGTACTTCGGTCCTTCTGCCTGTTCTGCTTCCCGCTCTGGCTCTGGTGAATTCTCTCACCCTCCCGCGCTTCTGACTGTACCCAGTGCTTATATAAATAAAATAAAAATAAATCTTTAAAAAAATAAATAAATATAATGGCATGTTTTATAAACTTCAGGGCTGCAAACTGGAAAATATTTTCATGGAAATATAACCCACTCTGTAAACCCAAGGTTACTGAGACTGAATCTTTCAAGCTGAGACCACTGTCCCTGACTATCAGAACCTGAAAATTAGGCGCAACAAGTAAGGACAAATAAAAGGAGAAGGCTAACAATATATTGAACATTCCCTAACTTCAAGGACTTATTTTTAATGAAGCACCAAAGGATAATGTTATCCCAGATGGACTCAAAAGGCTTTTGAACCATGTGAGTTACCTTTATGCTGGACCACAGAATTGATTAATTAAAAGCAAAACCAAGTTACAAGAACAAACTAACAGACTATGTATCGAGCGTCATAATTTGGCCTCTCAAATCACTACTTTGGAAGGACTGTGTGTAGCTGTGTATACACCAAATTGTTATTGGCAATGTTTTCCTCTTCTAGATTGTCTGTATTTTCTGTCTATTGGCAAGTAAATTATTTTTAAAAGTAAGCCTGAAAAATTGACATTCTTCAACGATCACATTCCTAAGACCAGGGTAGACATAATATAAAACTATTTCCTTCTGTTAGAGAACCAGAGACCTGGGATAACATATTTTTTTTTTAATTTAGTGTTGCCACTTACACTAAGTTATTCAGACATTTAATTGAATATGATAAAATACATGAAAATGGGGAGGAAAATTATTTTCTGTGGACTCTGTATTTGTTGTGTACCAGAGACCTTTGTTCTTTCTTTTATTTTTAATAAGTGCAGCTTAAATAAGTTTAAGGTGCAGCTAGTTACTTATTCATTTCAAAAGAGCAATTATAACTGTTAAATTCTTAATGTCCACTATGTATTTAGAAGAAATATCTGAAACGCTAGCATATGAAAATATACCAAGCTATTTTCATGGACATTTATCAGCGAGACTATAGAAGGTTTTTAGACTTTATGAGTTTCTCTACATCTATACAGATACTTGGATAAAAGGATAATAATTCCTAAAGGCCACTATTTTATCATACCTAAGCAAATCTATTATAGCAAACTAGTTGTTGAATATTGCATTCCTTTGTTTTTTAAAAATTTTTAATGAACAATTTAAATTAGATAAGCACACCCTGAAGTCCCAAATTAGAGCAGATTACCTTAGTAAAGGTTTCTTGATCACTGCAGTGAGATCCTGTTCTTTCCCTTGGTTCCTGCTGCCTGAAGTGGGCCAGGAGGCAGCCTCGCACCTTACGTGTCTACTCATCAGTAAAGATTCATCAGGGTAGGATTTAATGGGAGCTTCTCAACTGTGGTAAATATTTGTATATGTATTTGCTGTACCTGCTAGTCTGGTCTCTCCAGATAGTTCCTATTTGCTTTAAATTGCCTCAGGTGAACTTATGCTGGGAAGCAGTGATAAATAAGTGTAATTTTGATTGAACATGAATTGCCGGTTCGTTCTATTTTAGCAAATACAACCATAAGTAACTTCCAACTCTGCACATTCAAGGAAAAAACAGAGCAAAGCAAAAACGAAAAAAGGAAAAATGAAGGTATTTCACAACCGCTTTCCATTTCAGTAAGTCAGGGACAGCATTGACATGGTCCCCACACATTGCTCTGACAGCTCGCACAGAATCACGAAGCCTGCGGTGCAGGGTGTTCTGGAAGAGAAGCTTGTTCAAGGGGCCGCGGTGCTAAACTTGATGGATGCCTGAAAGTACCTTGTATGTCCTAGGGGCTGTTCTATATGCTAGAGACGGAAAAGGCACCTGCAGGAGCTGAGGAAACCTGGCGCTGGGGGCTGGACACAACCATCTAACATGTCAGAACCCGCGTCACACCTGCGCACGGCATCTGCCATAAAGATGCAGGATCTGCTGTCAGTGCTGCCTCGCACGGCCCAGTCTCCACCAGGGTCAGCATTTGTGCAGCTGCCTAGAAGCCACAACAGGTGACTATTCCGTCCTGCGTGCGGATCTTCACTAAATAAAAACCACTCTCCGTTGTTATCTAACAGTTACCAGCGATCATGGCAGGAGCATCTAAGAACGGGGTGAAAGTTGTATTATTTATCACACCCGTGTCATGCATGCCTAATTTTTCTTTGTTTACCATCTCTCACTTTGTCATCCCAGAGTCCTTTGTACCATATTCATTAAAACAGAGTCTGAGGTGGCAAAGTTGGGTCAGGTAACAACATCCCCTGAGCCGCAGCTCATCGCAGGGTATGGACGGGGAGCGTATCCAGGCCTCTCTGAGCCAGTCTAACCTCGTGGGGACATAAAACCCAGTGTCCTCTGCCATCACCACTCACTTCTTTTCCCTAACTATTTGTATAAATTTACAAGATCACTGTGAAGCCCAAAGATACCACCTCCTCCCATTAGTAAACTCAACCTTCTTTATTTTCAAATGCAAGATCCACTGTCCTGCTGCGTGTGACCAGCATTTGTAGAAATGGAAGCTGTTGCCGCCCGAAGAGCCCCAGCTGGCCCCCAAACTCGCCCTCCCTCACCTCTCAGAAAGTTTCCAACATTTGCTTATTTCTCGCACCCAAGACAACCAAGAAAATATCCCAAAAGCCTGAATGCAAGTAGAGTCCCGAGCCCGGGGCACCGGCAAACCCAACAACACGCGCCCAAGGTCAGCGCGGAAATGGCCCCAGCAGGTTTGGAGCAAACACTGCGCAGATCTCACTCACCAGAGGAGATGTCCACTTGGCTCATCTTCGTCTGCGTGACGTTGATGTGGACACTCACTTTGCTTTCGGTGAGGTCAATCTCCACGGTGCCCAGATTGTCCGCCAACTGGCTGAAAAGCAGGAGACCATTGGGGTTCCACGTCCTGAACTGGAAACTGACGGAAAATAGGTCCTGGCCGAGCCGTCCGGGCACCTGCAGGTAGCTGGTGGCGTTGAAGAAGACGGGCACCGTGTAGGGCTCCACACATGAGAAGCTCAGATTTCCCTATGAGACAGGAGGGCCTGGGGTGAGGCACGCGTGGAATGAGACGTATCCCTGTGAGGCAGCAAAGCTCCGGTTCTGCAAACCTCACAAGCAGAGCTGAGCCTGTGCCAGATTCACACAGGCAGCAGCATGACTTGGATTCAGCAGCTGGAAACCTCCACAGGAGCCCCCTGGGGTGTGGACCTAACAGGGTGTGGCCGGGGCCAGCAAGTTGAGGGAGGGGAGCAGCGGACGGGATGGCTGGCCCTGGACAGGATGCAGGAATGGAACTGGTGGGCTCGAGTGTGGACCTCGGGGCTCTGAAATGGTGAGGAGCTGCCATGCCTCTGACCCCTGAGGGGTGCTCCATCAGCCGAGGGGGGGCGGCCGCTGCTGTCCCTCTTCTGGATAACTGTGTCCAGCACTCACCAATGCATCCGCCTCCTCTCAGTGAGAACTGGGGTCAGATTGTTGCTATTGACTCAAGTGACATTATGGGGCAAATATTTGCTGGTTTTTACCCCTTCCCTCATATATATGCACTGATAATAACTAGTCGGCATCAGCATAATTGTGATTATTTCAGATTACTTTGCTGTCCAACTCAAAATCTCATTTAAATTCCCCCAAACTGGGCCTCCCCGGTGGCACAGTGGTTGTGCGCTGGGTTGCAAAGCTGCCCGCAGCCTCTGCAGCGCCAGTTCGATCCCCGGCTGCTCCCCAGCGACTGGAGGAGGGTCCCACATGGCGCACAGACCCCTCCTGCCGCCCGCTGCTCCCCTCAGCAGTGTACTTCGGTCCTTCTGCCTGCTCTGCTCCCTGCTTGTATAAATAAATAAATAAATAAAATTCCCCCAAACTATGCATCTATCACAATGCATTAATTCCTGCGGAGAAAGTGGCATGAACGTACAAAATGAAAACAAAGCTTGCAATAAAGTCCACTTCTTTCTCCTTATACTCTTTAAAGCCAATTTCCCATCCCAGTGTCTCATTACCTTCCTTTTAAAGACTTGAAAATCTATATTTGTTTTCAACTTCCTTTATCCCTCCACAATATTTTAAGGAATACAGTTTGGTGACAGTTTCATCTGACTAATCAATTTTCTCTTTTAGAACATTTCACATCTGTCCCCAGATGCACACTTCTTCCATTTCAGCACACCAACCATTAAGCCCAAGATAGGTTGTCACTTTGAATTAATATTCAAATTTAATTTCCACTCTACCTTCAGAGATGATTATTTTTGGACGCTTACTTTTACCAATAATAATCAAAGTGCTATAACTGACCACAATAGCTGTGTCGGGGGATGCCTCCCCCAATGAAATTGATTGAACATGAACTGCCTGTTCATTCTATTTTAGCAAATACAACTATAAGTAACTTGTGCTCTACTAAATGTCTTTATTGCTCAAGTTAAAGCAGCATTTACACCACAATGTAGTCTGCAGTGGAAGCTGCCTTTGGCATGAGTCTCCACGGTGAAAGTCTGGACTCTGGGTCACCTCATCTCAGCGCCAACTGGGAGAGTTGGGTAGAATTAACACTACTGCTCCTGAAACTTGCAAATAATGGAAAGGGTACACTGATCATTTGAATTCTGTATCTCTTTATCTTAAGCAACAGTTTCTGAGAAAACACAAGTCCCCTGCTGCCGTTTTCTACTAAACTTTAAATCACACATGTATCAGGGCTGCCCTAAGTAAGAAAGACTACAGCCTGGAAGGTGACCGTGACCTTGGGCTCGTAACTGTGAACCCAGAGTCTATGCTCCCCACTCACATTCCGTCACTGTGGGAAGTTGTTTTTCCAGGTTAAGTCTCAGTATCCTCATCTCCAGGATGTTTATAATATCTCACTTACAGTATTTTTCTCAGATGAGCAGACATGTAACATTTATACCATAGTGGTGCCACCTGTGATATTGAAATATTTCTCTGTATTCAATATGTTTTGTGTCATAACTTCATCAAAATGTGATTTTTAGCTCAGTATAAACTCACTATTTTGAAGAAAAACAATTAAGAAATATTTACAGTTTTTTTTTTTGTTTTTTTTTAAGATTTAGTTATTTATACAAGCACTGGGTACAGTCAGAAGCGTGAGAGGGTGAGAGAATTCACCAGAGCCAGAGCGGGGAGCAGAGCAGGCAGAAGGACTAAAGCACACTGCTGAGGGGAGCAGCGGGCGGCAGGAGAGGTCTGCGCGCCATGTGGGACCCTCCTCCGGTGGCCGGGGAGCAGCCGGGGATCGAACCAGCGCTGCAGAGGCTGCGGGCAGCTTCCCAACCCAGCGCTCAACCGCTGCACCACTGGGGAGGCCCGAAATATTTACAGTTTTGTCCTAGGGTCGCAGTGAGCCCAACACCAGCATGATGGAAAATGCTATGATTTTGTTGTTGTTGTTCAATAGTTCATAGAAAAAAAGACTCACTTATTTTTCTATGAACCATTATTTTGGGGGTGAAAGAGTCTTACCACATTTGATGGCTCCAGTTTCTTCCTTCTTGCAAGATCAGTTATGTTGACGCCATTGTAGTTAATGCTTTCCATGCAGCCTTTGAAATTCTTTCTGCTGCTGGAGCTTGGCTTGCCAGAGAAAGGTATGCCTCCAAAGGTTATCTTCGGGAAAAAATAAAATGTAAACATTCACAGTGGATTTGGCTTTAAAAAATAACCTTCACAATAGATTAGAAAAAAAAAATCAATACAGCCAAAGCCATTCTGTCTATCTTAACCAAAGTATACAGGTATTTTTTACTGCCTCCAAAATCTGTTGTATATGAAATGATGTTGCTATTAAAGCGCATAACAGAATCATTAATTCTGACAATGAAATTATAACTTAAGCAAGAAAACTGCAACAATCTCTTGCATTTTTGCTACTCAAAAGACATTTTATAAATTTTCCTGGGAATGTTTTAGATTTTATGCAGCAAACTTCCTTTATTAATATTAAAAATACATTTCTATATTTATCATTCAAAGACATACTATCAGTAAAAACTTCCCAGCATGTTGAGATAACCAGCACTAACATTTTAAGCTCATGATATTGTAGCCAAAAGCAAGGAATATTGTATTTCTCCTATGTGTGTCAATTGCAGCCCAATGACCACCAGATTAAAAAATTCATTAGGCTTATTGGGGGCTATTATGTGAGAGTGCAGGTTTTAAAATATTTTAGGTCTTTGCAGTCCTAAGGAATGCTTCTTCTTGGGATTCTATGTCTATTATTACCTGTAAAAAGACTGTATTTTTCTATATTTTGGCCAAATTGCACTATGATAGTATAAATCCCATGTAGTACAAAGTTATACCATATATGTATATTATTTCATGATATATAATATATAGCCAATAATAACATCTACTTCTAATACGGAATTACCAGTAAATGAATCCTAATAGTAATCATAGCTTTGAGATAAAAATATATAAGCCAGATGCTCTATCTTTCAATTATTATTCAATGTTATCATTACTGATGTTTTTTACAAAGTTTTGAAAATGTAAGCAATAGTTAAGACATCTGTATCTGAAACATCAGGTCGCTGAAATGGCAGGGCTTCATATTTGAAACACAAGACAAAATCTTTGTTTTTTAGGAGAACACTAGAAAATGATGTTCTTTAGTATGATGGAATTTTTAATTGCTTAATTTGTTTTATGGGAGAAAGCGCACAGTAATAATGGCTTATAAGAATATATTGAAAAAGGCCTCACTTAAAATAAAATTGAATTTATTCATATTGATTAGGTGAACTCATTGACCACAGTTTTCGTACAGGGGAAGAACAGGCGAAAACTGGGGATAGATGAAAAAAGCAATTAGTAACAACGACAGGAATAGGAGGCAGTCATCTCAAACAGCAGCGTATCTGGAGACACGCCTTCACGTGTCAGGGAACAGCTGAGTGCTGTGTGGGCGTAACCAAGACCAAAGGTAAGAGTGACTGACACAAACTACACGCTGTATTTCCTGTCCGTAATTTTCTTCCCCAGGTGATAGACAGTAAGTAACACACTCTTGCGTGCTTAAGGCAATATAGCAGCACGTTATGAACAATTACTCAATGCAAGTTTTAAATGATGTTTTATTTCTTCTCCACATGCACCTTTTCTTTAGGGACTTTCATTTTTTTTTACAGATTTATTTTTATTCATTTATGCATACAAGAGCTGGGGTGTAGGCCAGGGTGGGGTTGGAGTGAGAGGATCCACCGGCGACAGAGTGGGGAGCAGAACAGGCAGATCTACTGAAATACACTGCTGAGGGGAGCAGCGGGTGTGACAGGAGAGGTCTGCTGTGCCATGTGGGTCAGCTCCCTGGCCAGGGACAGAACTCATGCCTCAGTGGCAGGTAGTAGCTTGACAGTGCTGAGACTAACCCCTGCGCCACCAGGGAGGTCCCTTTTATTTTCTTTTAAGAGGATAAGCTCACCACTTCTTACCACATGCCTGGAGGGTGGGATCCCTTACCTCTAACAGTAGGTGGACCACAGTCACCACAAAGAAAAAGTAAAAGAGATAAACAGTTATTTTTTTAAATAACCCTCCTCCGGGCCTCTCTGCCTTCGGCAACACCCCACAAGCCCTACTCGAGGGACAGATTACAACTTAAATCTATTCTGGACTGATTAAACAGCCCTGCTCTTCAAATTGTTACTTCTGCACCAAAATGTTTAAATTTCAAGTACTCAGAACTAAAAATTGAGAAGAATAAAATGGCACATTAAAGTGTGAGGGAAAGAGCAGGCAGGTGGGAGGGAAAGTTGCTCAGCACAGGGGAGACCAGGCGCCAGGTAATGGCACCTGCTCGGGCAGGTACCTCATAGTCCAAGTCCAGGTAGTCGAACTCCCCGTTGGTGCGGAAGTGCTGCAGGCTCCGGTCCAGGGTGAGGTTGATGCCCCGGCCCTGGCGCTCGATGACCACTGAGTGCCAGTGGTGGTCATCCAGCAGGCTCCCGGTCATCACAGACGTGTGGCCGTAGATGGGGCCCAGCTGGTTGCTTCCTGAGTCACGGGAGGAAAAAGAGAGTCAGTGACACCTCCGCTCTGAAAGGGGGTGCACAGCCCACACCTGCAGCAGAGCCGCGGCAGAGGGACTCACGTTCCTCTCAACCCGCACCTGTCAACATGAGAAAACCAGCTTGTCACTACACTTACAAAGTTGTATATGCTAAGGACACAGACGTTATTTAAGATCGAAAAAAAGTCTGCTTCCTTTTCTTTTTTTAAAGATTTATTCATTCATGCATACAAGAGCTGGGGCACAGGCCAGAGATGTGGGGGTGGAGGGGTAGAGGATTCGCCAGAGACAGAGTGGGGAGCAGAACAAGCAGACAGACTGAAATACACTGCTGAGGGGAGTAGCGGGGAGACAGGAGAGGTCAGCTGCACCACGTGGGTTGCTCCCTGGCTGGCTGGGGATCGAACTCTTGCTGCAGAGGCTTTGGATTGCTTCATAGTACGGTGCTTAACCCCTTGCACCACCAGGGAGGCCCCCCTTTTTTCCCTTACACTGCCATAGATTCTGGAGAACTGTAGATCCCAGGGGCCTGGGTCAGAGTGGGTTTCCATGACCCTGGCGAGGGACAAGGACAGCACCTGGGTGGCAAGGTTGCTGTGGATTCAGTGAATTAGCACCCGCAAGGGGCTTAGCACACTTCCTGGGCTTAGTGACAGCTGTGAAATGTTCCCTTTTAACAATCTTTTGTGGGTGGTGGAGCTGCTATTGGTCAAGCAAGCACAGAAGGCCGATTTTCAGTTGTCTCTAATTCCCAAAGTCAGAGGAAGTTATCTTTCAGGTATATCTTAGTCACAATGTAGCATCTAATGGCAAGCAAAATTAGCTCAACTTATACATTATAATAAATACCTGCAGAAATATCTATGTGGCTACCATCTAGGTTTAAAAGAAGGTCTCCATGGTAACAAGACTGTAAGAGTAAAAGGTTGTGAGAATCTAAAATGGCTACTAAGGTCATCTCTGGACACTGTTTAAATATTTTATATCATTGTCTATTTGTCTCATCAATTACTGGTTATTATAGTCAGGAAAAACTAAGTAAACACTATAAAACATAATATGGGTCTAGAATAAATAGCAAAATAGAAATGAAAAGAAATACATGATTTACTGAAGCATTAAATTACTTTCCTTTTTACACATTTAGGGTGATAATGAGACTTACATGCTACATTTTCTGCGGTTTTCCTAGATCACATTTTCTTCCCCTTCGGTGATGACATCAAGTATTGATGCGTGACTGTAATAGTGTGTTCACAGGTGTGGGGAGAGGGAGAAAGGAAAAGCAGGAATAATGACAGTGCAAGAAATGAGTGCAAGGACTTAGGCCAGAAGCCTGGCATTTGGGTCACGGCTGACGGGATGAGGGTGTGAGTGTGTGTGAGCCCACGGCTGGCACAGGTGCCAGTGAGTTGATCGATCAGAGAATAAACTGTGAAGTGCTGACCATCTTTTTTTGGGAGGTCACATGGCTGCTTACTTGTTTCTGAACAGTTACACCTTTATAAAGAATAGTGGTTTTTAAAAGGCTTCTCTGTTTCAATTTATTTAAAAAAATGATTCGAAAAAATAAAGCTAAGGTTTCCTCCAATTGCTATGAGAGTGCGTGGGTGCAAGTTTTCCTAAGTACCTACATTTAGGTTTCTGGTTTCTCTGCCCTTCCTCCCTTCTACCTTTTACTCCAGATCCTACCAAAAATAATGTAAGGTTCTTCTACCTTCCACAAGGTAATACATGAATACATGCTCACTATTAGAACCACAGAGCATTATGAATAATTGATAAGTAAATCATTAATCACTCATCTCTACTATTAAAAAGTTCAATCTGTTTCCTTTCATATTTTCCCCCATATCCATTTGATTATATATACATATGTATATAAATATACAAATACTGACATATTATTCACTCTACAGTTTTCATTTAAAAATGATAGATTTTCTCATATAATTAAAATTATTCACCCACATTTTACATGGATATCAACTTATTTCCATACATTTAGCTTTCGTTCTGATTCTTAACATTATTATTAATATGGAAAAGTATATCCTTGGTCTTAAATCCAATAGTCATTTTTTATTATTTCCTTACTATTACTGGACCGAAATAGACATTTTCAATATCTGAAAATATAACAGAAACTCTTCCCTGAGTTCAACTCATTCTCCAGCCAACATTTCATTTCTCTGATTCTTCATTTCCAGTTGATTCTATTTGAAATATTCATTTTCAGGCCTCTTGCTTTTCTTCACCTATGATAATGAAGCCATAGACTGTTCTATTCCACCGAGCGTAAATCAACAGAAACCTTTGTTGTCAAAGCCAATACTGACTCTTCTGTCTTCATCTGATGTGGCACTTACGTGAATGCAATCCAGCCAGCCCTCTCTTCTCTCCCTGCTCTCCAGAACACCACATCTTCTTATTTTCTCCCACTTTCTGTCCTCATCTCATCTCCATTTGAACACCTTCTCTTCTCCACCTCATATGTGCAACTCAAAAAAGTGCCTAATAAGCAACAAAATTGTACCACATTCAAACTATTTGACAATTTCTCTTTCAGAGTAAACTAATAATCCTCTAATAGAAGAAACTCTACAGAGAAAATAGAGCTTTCTCTGTTTCTGAAAATGGGACTAATAATGTACATTTGCAGCTCAAGTCCACACCCTAGGGATTATCCTTTATTTATTCTCTTTCCTTCCTACTCTACACCCCATCCATTACAAATCATGTTAAAGTTGCCTCGAAAATCATCTCCTAAGCAGACCTACTTTTCTGCATCTCCACTGAAGTCACACCTCCTGCAGCTCGTACCACGCTGAAGTCTGGCTGTAACTCTCAGGTTGACAGAAGCATTTTCACTTAAGAAGTCTCAGTTGACCTCTAAAACTAAGGGCAAGATGCCATATAGTTTAAAGCCCACCTATAGTCACTCATGTTTAATATAATATCTAAACTCATTGCCCTGCCCTCTATAATCCCACAGAATCTGGATAATCTAATCTCCAAAGTATTGGATTTCATCGTCTATCCCTCTTACTAGGCTCATCCATACAACTTCCTCCATGCTCCTTAGAATTTCCAGTTTTTGTCTTAAGCCAGACCTTCCTCTCCTAAAGCTCTTCCTATATTTTCATGACTAATTTTTCCCATCACTCATACCTCAGAGAGGTCTTTCCTGACTACTTATGCTAATGCTGGCCACTCTTAGCTCTACAGAACCTTTTCTCATAATAACCTATTCAATTGATTTAGTACTATGTGCTTGAAGTCATTTCCTTTAATTTGGCTGTTTTAAAATAATAATAGATAGATAATATGCTGGCTGACTCCTCCACTAGGTCATAAACTTCATGAACTCAAAGACTTTTATTTGCTCGCCACCATATTGCAGATACTGGTAGAATAACTTGCATAATGCAGATGTTTAATACTATTTTTTGAATGAATCAGATACCAATACATACCAACTACTATGGAGTAAAAGTGAATTGACAACATAATGGGGACTATTTTTACAGTTTGCATTTTATAGATTAAGTAGTCATTCACAATTTATTAACAGGAATATTAATAAAGGGGAAGAGCGATACCAAAAGCCACCACCCACCTAAGTTTAAGCTGAAGACCAGCTGGGCTTTCTTCAGCTCCAAAGTGATATAATCCCCTTGCTGTCCTTCTCCATGCAGGATGACCCCTTCACTTTCAGAGGTTTTAAATTTCAAGGCGATGACATCTTTCAGTGTTTTCATCTTCTTGTTTCTGAATCTATATGGCAAGACAACATGGCCATCAAAGCTGATAACATCAGCCCCTAAAAGAAGAAATAAATAACATTTTAGTTACTTATCGTGTGTTGCCATCCAGCATGAAGTTTAATTCCTTCCAATGGGTATCTGCACAGAATAAATGAGAAAGAAGTATTTTTCCTGAGAAATCTAGAAACCTGTATTGTTGTTCTACTTCTTGTTTTGGCTTATTGTGTACCCTGAAGTAGATTTTTTTTTTTTGTGGGACCCTCGCTGGTGGCTGGGGATGGAACTGGCACTGCAGAGGCTGTGGGCAGCCTCGCAACCCAGAGCTCAACCGCTGCGCCACCAGGGGAGGCCCTGAAGTAGATTTTTATGTGGATGATGTGTAAAGGATGATTATAGAAATATCTATCAAAATAAAATCCCGCTTCAATTTTAATACTAAGGACATAAATTCTATTAATTTATCTGCTTCAAATTTTAACTTGGGAGATGTGTTTTAAAAAGTAAAAAATATTTTAATCACAGGGGTATTATGAGATTTTAATGTTTTCCTTCTTAAATGAGGCTAATTCTTCATGATTTTTAAATCTACATCTTACTCACAAATTTGCTTTGACACAAGAATGACACACTTGCAAAGCACAGTTTGACACTATGCTTATTTTCCTAAAGGCTTTTATAGGCTACTACATTTTAGTAAGTTTTGTTAGTACTCAGAGTTCATAGCTAATCACACTTTCAGAAGTTTCTTACAATCTTCTCCTGATCCTCACATCTGTCTCAAATCCCGTATTTGCACCGTAGTTTTGGGATGGAGAATTAACAAAACTAAGTAAAGACATCCTCACCTACATTCAAGTTGCAGAAATATCTATCTTACTACAACTAGAGTAGTTCTGATTTTATTTAGAGAGCTTCACTGAAGATGTGAAATTATATAAATATTTTAGAAGGAAAAACCATTGTGTTCCCATCCCCAAGACAGGGTGTGGAGCTGATTAGTTTCATCCCTGCTATTCATCCACATCAGATATGGACAATGAGATGATCTCCTTTATGCACTGTTGATGAGTGAATTTCTCATCCCCAGGATGGCTCAAAGGCCAGTGATGATGATTCAGATCAAGCTTTAAGTACCAACAGAAGCTTAGTTACCACATTTAGATCTTTACCACTAAAAATATTTTCACCATTTCTTGAGTTTTCAGTTTAAATCATAGAAAACCTACTCAACCTGGAAGTTTTAATTAGTTTAGAATTATAAGCCAGGAAGAAGCCAATCTCTCAGTTAGGGGTAAGGTCTTGCTAAAGACAGGGAGACACACTAGATAAATAGCAAACAAGTTTGAAAATTGTCAGGGGATCATTTTCTCAGCACATGGCCTAGTTATCTGGCATCTGTCTGCTTCAATCTCACAAGGACACTTGGGGTCCTAAGTGATAAGAGTGAGCACCCCTCACAGCTTCTGGCAGAGCTGCACTCCTAGGGCTGTCTGCCATCCAGGTGCTATGAAGTCACTGCTAGGAATTCATCTATTTCAAACAGTACTTAAAAGTATAGCTAGTTTTTCCCTTCAAATCATCAATGGCTTGTCAAAGTTTTAAAACTATTTTTATTATCTTGAATAATTATGTTTTTAAATGTTCATTTACAGAATCATTACATCCTAAAATGTTCTGAAAGAAAATAACAGAAATTTGGACTTGAACTTTTCATCCGTGTAGCCAATTCTTTATTGCTCATAAAAAGGCTTTCTTAATCAACAGAATTCTGTTCTCTGAGACTGTGAATCACAGGGTTTATTTTACTATAGGGAAAAAAAACAGCCATTAAATTTTGGCTTCTGTTAACACTGCAAAGCCAATTAGACTTTAGCTTAATCATCTATACTGTCACAGCTGAATTCCAACTGCAATATCTTTGTCATCTGTGATGAGAGATACAAGAAAGAGTAGGCTGATGATCAGATCCCAGGTTGAATTTATAATCCAGCAGTTGGTAGAAATTACTTTTTGTCTTGAAAAGTGAATAAATGAAAAGTCAGGGGAAGGAGTAAATTCTGAACTCTAGAAAGTAATTTTGCAGTCAATTTTACATCAGTGACAGGTGAGTAATAGACACATCACTGTTTTATACACCTTCAATATATATTAATTGACATAAAATATTTCCCATTCATCTCTCAGGAAGTAAATGCTCACTGAACTTAGATAGAAGAAAGAATTCACTGCTCCTTTATTTTCTCCTAAATCAAAATCTACATTCAATTCCAGGTACAGAATAGTGGCTTATGCAAATGTTGATGCCTTTCTGTTTTACTTGTAGGGCAATAGAAAAGATCAGAAAGGATCAGAATGATTTGTTTCTTCACATAATTGTAGGATATTAACAAAACATATGGAATACTATTCTCCAGACCAAGTCTCATCTTACAAATGCACTGTGGCCAGGGGTCAGTTGAGATACTGGTAAAATCCTCCGCAAGCCAGATCACTGACATCCAGAAATCCAAGTGGTTCTTGTGTATATGGGTTAAATGCTTGCAAATATCAGCACAGGGATGTGAGCTCAGAGTTGGCTTCGACATTACAAAATTCCTAGAAGTAATCTCTGATACACAACGCATAGAGTAACACATACCATGCCATATATTTTCAAGAGATTTTGGGATATTGTAAAATTCATCAGAGTTTAGTACCATTTTCCACAAAAGTGCATTAAAATTTTATTTGACATCTAATAATATGTTGTGCTTATTTTGGGACAAGCCACCTTTCCCCCCTCCCCATTACCCTGATTGCTTATCACTCCCTAGAATTAAGTTTTCTATGCAGTGATTAAATATGTATGGTTGAGCTGTTTAAGCAATCTCAACAACAATAATGGCTAGTCAAAGAGAGAGTACAAAATCACAGTGCTTCCACAATTTGTTTCTAACAATAACTCAGAGAGTTGGTAATGTGCCCAATTCATCAAATCATCATGGTAGACTTTTTTCTTTAATTTCATTGTTACTTAGTCTGTACTTTCAGAATGGTTAACTTGTAGAAGTATTTACCACCTAAAGATTTAAATATTTTTTTTAAATACCTTTGCTATATTTTTACTATATGTCTAATAAATGTTTATTATTAAAGGCATTTTTAATTACAGAAGTAGAAAATGTAAGTGAATCCTAAACACAAAAATTCACTAATGTTGATGAGTAGCAGATTAGTGCATATCCTTCTAGATTTTATTCCTTTATCTATGTGCTATATGGAATAACAATAATTTATAGCATATAACAAATCAATTAAATGATTTACTTACAATTATAGCATAGAGAGAACAAAATATTGCCATTTTCTATATTATTCCAGTATTTTTTTGGTTTGAAATATTTTTCTACAATAAAAATTTTAATAGCCACATAGTATTCCATTGTATACATGAACTTCAGTTTTAAAAATGGTTCCTGTTTTGTACAGCTAAGTTATTTGTAATTTTCCCCAAGTCCAAAATTTCTGTAATGAACATTCTTGTAAGAGTCATGAAGACATAAATAAGTCCTTACTTTCTAAAGTGACATTGCTCAATTAAAATTATTGATAAAGTTGTATTGACAAGGTAGTATGGGAACTTACAGTACAGATTTCTGTGGTCTAAATGCTCAAGTCACTTTTGAGAATTTGAAACATATCTTTGAAATTAAAGTTTAAAAATACTACAAGATGGCATTGGCTTAGTCTCACAATTTTTACATAAATGCAAAACTATTATATATTCTTCAACCTAGTCACCTCCTCTGAGTCAGCATGCTTAAGAAACTTTTCTAGCCTTATCACGAAGCCCAGTATTTAAAACAGCACTGAAAAAGTGGGTCCTCGCTAAAGACTTGTGCAATGATTGCATGTTGTCTCTCATTTCTCAATAAATTGCATTAAAGTTCAATAAACACTACTGTTTTATTAGTTTTCCTTACCAATCAGAGATTGGGAAAAATTTCAAGAATCACTCTGATTCCCCTTGGTGCCACAATTAGTGGTGTATATGAGGTTCTAATTTTCAAAGAAAAGGAAAGGCCATATCAAACTACTTTTCTGTGTTGACAGTGGTGGGGGAAAATTAACTCCATTATTATCAATTATTATTAAATTGACAGACATTAAATTTATCTCCTCTCATCTGCATACAGTTTCAATCTGATTAATGTCTTTCTTCCAACCCACTGCCTTCTCTTTCCATATTTCTGTGTTCTAAAACTAAATAAATAAAGTTGATTCTAAAATGTCGGTAAGAGCTAATTAGAGTAATAGTGGCAGCAAATGAGCCTTCTCCAAATCCTTTAACAAATGATGAGGAGATGGATCTGAAAAGTTGTTTCTATTTGGGGACAAATAAAACAAACACCATCATTTCTCTCTAAAATCTGTTGCTCTGCACTCAAGTGCTTGATAACTCATGGTAGAACAGCAACGATGACATCAGAGGAGTTGGATTCCATTTCTCAAAAACATTTGAACTCTGACAGCCAACTGCCTGGAAGTCTGAATCATGTGGGTCTTGCACCAGCACTTCCTACTCATCCAACACCTAACTCTTTTCCTGGTTGCACCGTGCATGTCCCTGTGCCTATTTATTATCTAGTTAGTTAAGATGCAGACCAGGGATTGTTCTTAATTCCTACCACTCTGGGTACCCACTTCCAGTCAGTCCCAAGTTCTGTGAAATTTAGTACTTTTGTGTATGGCAAATATATTGCTCACTGTTTACATGCACTGCCTCCAGGCCCCATTGCATCTTACACCATCTATTGCCTTGGATAAGTCCCATCCTCCAGTCTCATTTCCCTTAGATCTATCCTCCACAAGAAGGATCTAGACAGATCTTTCTGAAATTAACCCTTTTGCAGAAAAACTTCAGCGCAGCCTGCAGGACTCCCCTATGACAGAGCTCCAGCCTTCCCTGGGCCTCCTATTTTGCAGCCATCTCTCTCTTTAGATGCTAATGATGGCAACCTGAACCCTTCCTTCTCCTGTGCCCTTCCTCCTGCTATGCTTCCTTTCTCCTGCGAAC